GTTGCCAGCAGGTCCCCAATTCACACCCAACACACAGCCTATTTGATAAGACGTGGAGGAAGGTTTATTTCCACGATCCTTGTCTCTGCCCGTCAAGTCTAGCAGCCTTTGTCACCAGACTCATGCAGGCAGAGGACACAACACAACAGCTGTTTGTAAAGAAAAGCTTTCGGATACCACGACAGACAGGGGAAACCATGCAGCTGCTTTCCCTCGCAAATAGAGGGCACACACACTTGGCAGCACCCCACCAGGCAAAGCAAGGGGGTTCTCAGACAGGCAGTCCCCTTGTTACACGAGTCCTGTCAGCACCAAAATGAGGGACGCAGCATGTCCCTGGCTCACAATCGGTGCACACACATGGCCAGAAACGCACCTGACTGGCCACAAGTAAACTCCTGACCCAGACCCACACGTATGAGTTATCTGTATGTATGTCAGATGTGTGCAACTGTACATGCTTAGCTGTGAAAATCTGACCCCGTGAGACCAACTCACAGGCCTTCTCGATTGATCTATGGTATGTTGAGACAGAGGCACCAGAACATGGACCAGACCATTTCAACAAACGCCGTGAGAGTTTCTCACACACACACACACACCGGCATAATATAAGGAGATGCCATTTGGAACTGCAAATAATGCTCACTCCTCTGGTTTCTGAGATCTCTAGAATCTCCAAAGGATTATTGCTTGTGACTACACATTTGATTCTTTCTTCTTTTCATTACACACACAAAATATCTCCATCATTTGAGGCTTCAAGACAGGAACACTGGTGAGTTAAGAGCTAGTTTGCATAAACCTGGGAGAAAAATCCATTCCTGGAGACATCTTGTATCACAAATTGTGTGGTAATTAGCTAGCCTCACAGAAACAGCTACAGAAGAAGAAACTTTTCTGCCCCACATGATCAAATTAACTGAGCAGAAGAAATTATTTTGGGTCCACTCATGGGCTGTCCACTACTGATGCATTTGGTGTAGGAAAAATAAATTAGCTAAAAGACCTGCTAATATCTGGATATAAAGCAATCACCTTCTCTTGGTACTTCTGGTACTGTGGGACCAGAACTCAGTGACGTGACAAGATACATTTTTCCTCTTGGGATGCAGAATATATCAGAAAACGTGAGAGCTTTCTCCTGAACTGTTAACAGAAAAAAGTGACATTCAACAGCCAGATGGCCAATAAGCTCCTGAGAAGCCTTTGCATCACTGGGAGATGCTATCCCTGCTCAGTTGATGTCGTAAAGTAACACCTGACAGTTCCACAAGGCTTCTCATCAAAACGGTGCAAAATGCTTTAAAGAGGGGAGGTCAAACAGCAGCATTATCCCCATTTTAAAGATGGGGAAACTGAGGCACAGAGCGAGGTTCAATGCAGAGTCACACAGCAAGTTAGTGACAGGCAAGAATAAAACCCAGGCCTCCTGACCCCAGTCCAGCGCGCTTGCGGCTGCCTCAGTGTCTCCCTCTGAGCTCCCAGACAACTCCCAAGATGGAGAAGTTAGGCAGCAATTCTTTCGTCTATCTTTGTTATAAGGATCCCAAAGAGGAAAACTATCAGAGGCTGAGGAACAACCTGAGGCTACTGCATTCGCTGAGGCCCAAGAAGAGCCCTGTGGCCATTCAATAAGGGTGACTGAAACAGCAAGTCTAGGTAAGGAGATCAAATGAATGGCCCGCCCCTGACTGACGCTATACGGCAGGGTAGTTGACAGGCAGCCCAAGGGCCAACTCCAGACCACCAGATGCTTTGGAACGGACTGTGGCAGCTTTTTATTTCCTTAGGATCATTATTGTTATTGGTTTTGTATTATTTTCTCTGAAGTCTGGACCTTGACCAAGAAATTTTGACCTTGCCAAAATATAAATCGATGACCCCTGCTATGTGGTATTGGTGTTGATCACAGACGTGTGAGCATACTTCACGCCTTTCAATGTCCAAATGACCAGGGCCCCAGCATGAATCCTGTGGAATGCCTCTAGAATCAAGAGTCTCTGACTTTTTTGCTTTTTAAACAAACACGCTGGGAAGCCACGTGCAGTTCCAGGCTGACAGGCAGGAAGCGAAGGGGGAGCGAGGATGGGGAGGAGCCTGCACATCTCTCTGCACAATGGATGTAATCCATCACCTCTAAAGGGATGTAGTCACGACCCCATCTGCATATTTAATAGCACAAGGCAGCCTCTTAACTGGCGCAGAGATCTATCCAACATGGCACGGGACTCCAAGGGGTGACCTCCGGAGGGATTTCACAGACGCCAGCTGCAGGCCTGCCGAAGCAGAATGTCACCGGAGAAACAATTGGCACAGCCTCCGCTAAGTCGAGGGGCAGATACGAGAGACACACAGAGTGTGCGGATCCCCTCAGAGGCTCAGTAATAAGATGAGAGCGCAGCTTTTCAATCAGGGCATGCACACTTTGCCTGAAAAGGCAAGTGCGCAGAAGAACAGAGCACCTCCCTAGGGGAATATGAAATCCAGGATAACACACACAAAATGGGTGACTTTTAGTTCAGACAGTGAATACACTCAGGGGCAGGGAGCGAGAAGGGTCTCCAGAGTTGGGCACAAGCCAGGGTGGATAAATATAAGGATTTTTTAAAATTTAAAAATCAGGAATTTTTTGTTTAAAGGATTTTTTTTTATTTACATGTTGCTGGTTCTTTTCTCTCTCTATTCTAGAGATTTAAAAGTGGAATTCCAGATTTTACATGCAGACTTCTTTTCGCCCCACAAGGTTTCACACTTACAATGCTCGCCAATGTTGACGAAGACGACAAGTTCAGGGCCTCAATGGGTATGTCTACGCTGGGGAAAAAAACGCATCCGAGCGTCTGAGAGCCTGAGTCCACTGAATCGAGCTCGTGCTGCAGGGCTGAAAATAGTGGTGTAGACATTCCCACTTGGGCTGGAGCCTGGGCATGGAGACCGGGTGAGGGGATGGGTCTCAGAGCCCGGGGATCCAGGCCGGGAAGGAACATTTACATTACTATTTTAGCCCTGTGGTGTGAGCCCCCCCAAGCCTGAGTCAGCTGACCCAGGCTCTGAGAACTGCTGCTGGTGGGTTTTTTTTTTTTTTGTTTGCAGTGCAGATGTGCCCATAAACATCACTGTGCAAACAAACACAAAACTGAGAAGCAAATAGTCCGTGATATACTTGCAACCAACCTTCCCATATACTGAACTTCCACAGATCAGGAAAGCTGAAATGCTTTGCCCATGCTACACGGCACAGGGGATTGCAGTTTGAGACTTGTGTTCTTAAGTCACCTACATACTTTTGAAAATCCCACCCTTAGGTGCCTAACTGAGGCTCTCATTTTGGAAACTTTTGGCCTGAGGATTAATAAAGTTATTAGGAACTTTTTATATGTATTGAAAAATCAACCTAACTTTTCACAGTTAACCCTGAAGTAGTTTTGTTTGGAAGTGACAAAGGTTTTAAGGCCACTAAAAGAAAAGTTAATAAAAAATACAATTTTAGCCCCTGATGCTACAAACACTTCTGCACACGCTTCACTCCAGTGCTGGTCACATGAATTATGCACCTGGTTAAGAGGCTGCAGAATCAGAGCAGCAGGATCGTTTCAACAGTTTGCTTTTTGCATGTAGAAGTCTGTGAAGTTCCAGTAAGATCTCTTACCACACTTTACAAAAGCGGTATTTATCATTTACTTATTATACATTTTAATCTAAGGTTTCAACAGTACACATTTTCACATTTAGTTTTAAAAAGAATAAAAGAATGACCATATTGGGACAGACCAATGGTCCATCTAGCCCAGTGTCCTGTCTTCCAACAGTGGCCAATGCCAGGTGCTTCAGAGAGAATGAAGAGGGCAATTATCAAGTGATCCATCCCATCGTCCAGTCCCAGCATCTGGCAGTCAGAGACTCAGTGACACCTGGCACATGAGCTCACATCCCCAACCATCTTGGCTAATAGCCACTGATGGGCCTAACCTCCATTAATTTATCTAATTGTTTTCTCAATCCAGTTACAGTTTTGGCCTTCACAGCATCCCCTAGCAGTGAGTTTCACAGGCTGACTATGCATTGGTTGAAGATGTATTTCCTTTTATTTGTTTACACCTGGGGCCTATTAATTTTACTGGGTGACCCCTGGTTCTTGTGTTATGTGAGGGGATAAAGAACACTTCCCTATTCACTTTCTCCACCCCAGTCATGATTTTATAGACCTCTACCATATCCTCTCCTTGTTTTCTCTTTTCCAAACTAAATAGTCCTAGTGTTTTTCATCTCGCCTCATGTGGAAGCTGTTCTGTCCCCTTAATCGTTTTTGTTGCCCTTCTCTGTAACTTTTTCATGTCTAACACACTTTCTTTTTTTGAGATGGAGCGAGCAGAGCTGCACACAATATTCAAGCTGTGAGTGTACCATGGATTTATATAGTTGCATTATGATATTTTCTATTTTATTCTCTATCCCTTTCCTAATGGTTCCTAACAATTCTATTCACTTTTTTGACTGCCGCTGCACACTGAGCAGATGTTTTCAGAGCACTATCCACCATGACTCAAGATCTGTTTCTTGAGCAGTAACAGCTAATTTAGACCCCATCATTTTGTATGTATAGTTGGGATTATGTTTTCCAGTGTGTTACTTTGCATTTCTCAACATTGATAATCTGATTTAAAGCAACGATTTAGACCCCCTTGACTTAAATCGCTCCACGTGGACAAACTACAACACACACACTTCAAACACCTCAACCGACACTGCTGCCCAACTTGGTAACCTTGGAGAGCTCACATTCAGCAGGTGCTGAAGGGAGGCCAGTGGCTCTAGCTAACCTGCACGCACTAAAAGGATGGCAAAGAACAACAGACTCCTACTTGTCTTTATAAACACGGTGCATGCTCACCACCCCCACACGTTAGTGACCTATTCCAGCATGGCCAGAGAGCTGCCTTGCCGGGGTCTAACCCAGCCCCAATGCAAACGTGATGAACGGCACAGCTGAGAGGACACTCAGTAACAAGGATGTGGTGCCTGAGGGAAAGGATGTTGGTTGCCACGGCAACCCAGCACATCCATGTCACCAGAGACCACCACGCGGCATACAAAGAATCCAGACAGAAAAAGCCTTTCCAGCACCTGGCTGACAGCTGCTTATCCCTGGTTATCCCACCTGCCTGCCGCAGGACCACACAAACCAAGTAAGATTAAGAAGGGTCAATATATGGAGCGGAGATCTCCAAGGAACAGGGAGGCAACTGCAGAAAGTGGGGGCAGGAGGGGGGCTCTCTGAGTCAGTACTGAGCCAAAGCCCCTGCAGAGCATTGGGAGAACCATGCTATGGAAGGTGCTGTGGTGTGGATGTTTAAATCTGTGGTCACGAACAATCCCGTAGCACCTTTCACAGCTGTATGAGTGTCGGAGGAGGGGAGTATTTGAGATGTGTGTTCTGGACAAAATCACAGTTTCAGAGCAGCATGCATAGTGTTGTATGCAGTCAAACCACTGGGGCATTCCACCACAGAAACAGCTGCACTTTTGTGATCAGGGAAGTGACTCCTCTGACGGGAACTGGTAAAGTGCTTTGGGATCCTTCAGAATGGAAGGGGCAAGAAATATGTAGGATTGTATTATTATTAACTGGAGTAAGACTTCCCCAGTTTATAGCGTATGTAACCGGCCAGAGAGCAGGTAGCTGCCTGTATTTTCCCCAAGCCCAAGAAAGAACAAAAAACGTGCACAGTCTTTAAAAGCATTTTTTTTAACTCCTTGTTTATAGCGACCCTCAAAGCTTGAAACTTAAACCAGTTCCTTTTGGCCAGGTTTAAGCCCCAGTCAGACTGCAAGACCCAGTCTGTGAAGCTCCAGATTGTGATATTAGCAGATAGCAGTAAAGCTACTTCAATGACTCCCACTAAATTCTCAAACCTCTTGTAGCGGTTACACAGAATGCTACAGATAAACCTGGACCACTGGACTTTTCCCAAGGGCCTGCATTTGTACCCCCTACTGCTAGAACAGCCTTGCCCCCCCCTGTAATGCCCCAACCCATTCTATACCAACCCCAGCTCTGGCCTCTCTCCACGCAGGAACTTTACAGCTGAGAACCTGCAGGAATACAAGTCTCCTTGAGCGACAGATTGCAAAATGCCTTTCCTACAAGAAGGCAAGTTTTGAAATATGGATGGAACAGATGTGGCTGCACTGCTCTGTTTGCAATACCCTACAAATAAGCACTGAACCCCAGCAAGATTGCAATTGTAATCAATTTCTCTGCTTCAAAACTGTTTAGTTAGACCAGCCAGGGGAAGAAACAGCCTCTGCAGTCTCAGCTGTTGAGCAAGGCTGGGGTTATTTTAGAAAGATCTACACTGGATTTTCTGGCTGTTATTTTTGCTTTTGCAGAGTTCCTGCTGAAAGCTGTCATCAGCTACCTATCCAGCAAGACCTTTTCAGGGGAGCTCCATGCTTCAGGTGGAGCAAGAGCAGGCAGAACAGATCCTCTTTGTGTGTGCGGGGGGGGTGAGAAAACCTGGATTTGTGCTGGAAATGGCCCACCTTGATTTTCATACACATTGTGAGGAGAGTGGTCACTTTGGATAAGCTATTACCAGCAGGAGAGTGAGTTTGTGTGTGTGGGGGGGGGGGGGTGAGAAAACCTGGATTTGTGCTGGAAATGGCCCAACTTGATGATCACTTTAGATAAGCTATTACCAGCAGGAGAGTGGGGTGGGAGGAGGTATTGTTTCATGGTCTCTGTGTATATTATGTCTTCTGCAGTTTCCACGGTATGCATCCGATGAAGTGAGCTGTAGCTCACGAAAGCTCATGCTCAAATAAATTGGTTAGTCTCTAAGGTGCCACAAGTACTCCTTTTCTTTTTGCGAATACAGACTAACACGGCTGTTACTCTGAGATCCTCTTTGGCATGACATTTTTTCGCCCCTGAATACGTGCTCACTTGAGTCAAAGCAATTGCGGCCCCCCCACCCGCTGTGGCAAGTTGGACTTAAATTCTGTGGCACCCTGGCAATTCTGCAGCTCAGCTCCATGGAAATCTGACAAAGGTAGGTATTTACTGAATTGCATGTGAAAATTAAGAATACAGTGAGGACAGCAGGCTTTGTATTTACTCGGGAGTTTCTTTTACACTGCCGAGGCTTGCAATTTTCTGCAGATTTCTCTATGGACAACACTGTATTAGGCTCACAGGTGCCTTAGCTACGTTTTGGCCAAGAAACTAAAAATCCCGATCACATTCATTTTCTTAAACCTGCCTGCTTGGATGCTGAAGATGGAAGAGACCTATGCGAAGATCATGCAGTACTAAGACCTATTAGGAGATCATCTCTCAAGAGTCAGCACACAGTTGCTTCCAACCATGTATTTTAGGGCAAGAAGGGGCCGATGTGATCATCTAGACTGACCAGCTGCATAACAGGCCAGAGAATTTCACCCAGTGATTCCTGAATTAAGCCCATAACCTCTGGCTTTTTGACACACATCCACTCTCGAGCTGAAGCCTTCCAGTGAGAGAGAATCCACCATACCCCTGGTTTATTCCAATGATTAATTACCACCACTGTTTAAACTGTCAGCCTTAATTCCACTCTGAATTTGTCTAGCTTCAGCTTCTACCCATTGACTCTTGCAATGCCTTTGTCTGTTACTGAGCCTTCTACTATCAAAAAACTTCTCCAACATATGTCCTTTTCAAGCATTTTGTCAAGTGCCATCCTTTCCCCAGGAGATTATTCCACAGCTTGCTATATTTTATATCATGACTCAGGGACATGGCATTTCCAGGAACACCTGGTCAGCTTTTATGTTCTATTTGTATTACCATTCTCAAATATCACTATGCATCCCAACTACTGGACATCATTCTCTGGGTCTGCGCCTGCTGTACAATGCAATGGCCACAACAACCAAGCCAGCAAATTTTCCTGTTTTGATTTGGCATCCACATCAGCAAGAAATTAGGACCCCGTTGGGCTCCTCCTTTTGAGGATTTCTTTCTAGCAGGGCTTGGTGGGCTAGTGGAGTCCAGTCCTCTTCCCCAACTCCCCTTTCATTTATTTTCAATAGCACCTACAAGTTTACTAGGAGCTTCACCAAAAACAAACACTGATCTCTCCCTCCAGGAGCTTATGATCTAAATGAGGGGCACGTGACATATACCAGGCAGGAAATAGGATCAGAACAGAAAAATGCTTGCAGGTGTCAGTATATTACTTAATAAAGCACACACACACACTTTGTAGGTGATGCTACAGCAGTGGGTACAGGCTTGGAAAGATTAAGAGGAGGTCTCTTCAGCAGACAGAGTAGGGGAAAAAACGTAACAGGTCTGAAGTCTTAAATTACTGGCATAGTGGACAGGGGGCAGGAGCAGAAGATGCCATATAGCTTGATTTTACTAACGTGTTTAATACAGTCCCACATGATAGTCTCATAAGCAAACTAGGGAAATGTGGTCTAGATGAAGTTATTATAAGGTGAGTGCACAACTGGCTGAAAGACCCTTACTCAGAGAGTAGTTATCAATGTCAAGCTGGGAGGGCCTATCTAGTGGGAGCCCTCAGGGGTCAATGCTGGGTCCGGTATCATTCAGTATTTTCATTCATGACTTGGATAACAGAGTGAAGAGTATGCTTATAAAGTTTGCAAAGGACACCAAGTGGGCAGGCGTTGCAAACACTTTAGAAGACAGGATTAGAAATCAAAGCTACCTTGAACAAATTGGAAAATTGGTCTGAAATCTAAGATGAAATTCAGTAAAGAGAAATGCAAAGTACTTCATTTAGGAAGGAAAAAATCAAATGCACAGCTCCAAACTGGGGACTAGCTAGCTAAGCAGGAGTACTGCTGAAAATGATCTGGGGAGTGTAGCGGATCACAAATTGAACGAGACAACATTGTGATGCAGTTGCAAAAAAGGTTAATATTCCAGGGTGTGTTAACAGGACTGTCGCGTGCAAGACACAGGAGGTAACTGTTCTGCTCTATCCTGCACTGGTAAGGCGTCAGCTAGGGTACTGCTTCCATATCTGGGCATCATGTTTTAGGAAAGATGTGGACAAACTGGAGAGAGAGGCCAGAGGAGAGCAACAAAACGACCAAAGCTTAAGAAAACCTGACCTACGAGAGAAGGTTAAAAACACCTGGCATGTGTAGTCTTGAGAAGAGACGACTACTGGGGACCTGATACCAGTCTTCAGTTATGCGAAGGGCTGTTATAAAGAGGATAGTGATCAATTGTTCTCCATGTCCACGGAAGGTAGGACAAGTAGTAATGGGTTTGATCTGCAGCAAGGGAGAGTTAGGTGTGATATTAGCAAACACTTTCTAATTCTCAGCCCTGGTCTACACTAGGACTTTAGGTCGAATTTAGTAGCGTTAAATCGATGTAAACCTGCACCCGTCTACACGATTAAGCCCTTTATTTCGACTTAAAGTGCTCTTAAAATCGATTTCCTTACTCCACCTCTGACAAGTGGATTAGCGCTTAAATCGGCCTTGCCGGGTCGAATTTGGGGTACTGTGGATACAATTCAACGGTATTGGCCTCCGGGAGCTATCCCAGAGTGCTCCATTGTGACCGCTCTGGACAGCACTCTCAACTCAGATGCACTGGCCAGGTAGACAGGAAAAGAACCGCGAACTTTTGAATCTCATTTTTTGCCAGTGTGGCAAGCTGCAGGTGACCATGCAGAGCTCATCAGCAGAGGTGACCGTGATGGAGTCCCAGAATCGCAAAAGAGCTCCAGCACGGACCGAACGGGAGGTACGGGATCTGATCGCTGTTTGGGGAGAGGAATCCGTGCTATCAGAACTCCGTTCCAGTTTTCAAAATGCCAAAACCTTTGTCAAAATCTCCCAGGGCATGAAGGACAGAGGCCATAACAGGGACCCAAAGCAATGTCGCGTGAAACTTAAGGAGCTGAGGCAAGCCTACCAGAAAACCAGAGAGGCGAACAGCCGCTCCGGGTCAGAGCCCCAAACATAGAATCATAGAATCATAGAATATAAGGGTTGGAAGGGACCCCAGAAGGTCATCTAGTCCAACCCCCTGCTCAAAGCAGGACCAATTCCCAGTTAAATCATCCCAGCCAGGGCTTTGTCAAGCCTGACCTTAAAAACCTCTAAGGAAGGAGATTCTACCACCTCCCTAGGTAACGCATTCCAGTGTTTCACCACCCTCTTAGTGAAAAAGTTTTTCCTAATATCCAATCTAAACCTCCCCCACTGCAGCTTGAGACCATTACTCCTCGTTCTGTCATCTGCTACCATTGAGAACAGTCTAGAGCCATCCTCTTTGGAACCCCCTTTCAGGTAGTTGAAAGCAGCTATCAAATCCCCCTCATTCTTCTCTTCTGCAGGCTAAACAATCCCAGCTCCCTCAGCCTCTCCTCATAACTCATGTGTTCCAGACCCCTAATCATTTTTGTTGCCCTTCGCTGGACTCTTTCCAATTTATCCACATCCTTCTTGAAGTGTGGGGCCCAAAACTGGACACAGTACTCCAGATGAGGCCTCACCAATGTCGAATAGAGGGGAACGATCACGTCCCTCGATCTGCTCGCTATGCCCCTACTTATACATCCCAAAATGCCATTGGCCTTCTTGGCAACAAGGGCACACTGCTGACTCATATCCAGCTTCTCGTCCACTGTCACCCCTAGGTCCTTTTCCGCAGAACTGCTGCCTAGCCATTCGGTCCCTAGTCTGTAGCTGTGCATTGGGTTCTTCCGTCCTAAGTGCAGGACCCTGCACTTATCCTTATTGAACCTCATCAGATTTCTTTTGGCCCAATCCTCCAATTTGTCTAGGTCCTTCTGTATCCTATCCCTCCCCTCCAGCGTATCTACCACTCCTCCCAGTTTAGTATCATCCGCAAATTTGCTGAGAGTGCAATCCACACCATCCTCCAGATCATTTATGAAGATATTGAACAAAACCGGCCCCAGGACCGACCCTTGGGGCACTCCACTTGATACCGGCTGCCAACTAGACATGGAGCCATTGATAACTACCCGTTGAGCCCGACAATCTAGCCAGCTTTCTACCCACCTTATAGTGCATTCTTCCAGCCCATACTTCCTTAACTTGCTGACAAGAATACTGTGGGAGACCGTGTCAAAAGCTTTGCTAAAGTCAAGAAACAATACATCCACTGCTTTCCCTTCATCCACAGAACCAGTAATCTCATCATAAAAGGCGATTAGATTAGTCAGCCATGACCTTCCCTTGGTGAATCCATGCTGGCTGTTCCTGATCACTTTCCTCTCATGCAAGTGCTTCAGGATTGATTCTTTGAGGACCTGCTCCATGATTTTTCCAGGAACTGAGCTGACCGCTTCTATGATGAGCTGCATGCCTTTTTAGGGGGTTCAGCCACCACTACCCCAGCCGTGTTGTTTGACTCCTTCAATAGAGATGGAGGCAACATGGAAGCAGGTTTTGGGGACGAAGATGATGATGATGAGGTTGTAGATAGCTCACAGCAAGCAAGCGGAGAAACCGGTTTTCCCGACAGCCAGGAACTGTTTCTCACCCTGGACCTGGAGCCAGTACCCCCCGAACCCACCCAAGGCTGCCTCCTGGACCCGGCAGGCAGAGAAGGGACCTCCGGTGAGTGTACCTTTTAAAACACTATACATGGTTTAAAAGCAAGCATGTGAAAGGATTAATTTGCCCTGGCATTCGCTGCTCTCCTGGATGTACTCCCAAAGCCTTTGCAAAAGGTTTCTGGGGAGGGCAGCCTTATTGCATCCTCCATGGTAGGACACTTTACCACTCCAGGCCAGTAACACGTACTCAGGAATCATTGTACAACAAAGCATTGCAGTGTATGTTTGCTGGCGGTCAAACAACATCCGTTCTTTATCTCTCTGTGTTATCCTCAGGAGAGTGAGATATCATTCATGGTCACCTGGTTGAAATAGGGTGCTTTTCTTCAGGGACACTCAGAGGTGCCTGTTCCTGCTGGGCTGTTTGTCTGTGGCTGAACAGAAATGTTCCCCGCTGTTAGCCACGGGGAGGGGGTAGCCACACGGTGGGGGGAGGCAAAATGCGACCTTGTAACGAAAGCACATGTGCTATGTATGTAATGTTAACAGCAAGGTTTACCCTGAAAGTGTAGCCACTGTTTTATAAAATGTGTCTTTTTAAATACCACTGTCCCTTTTTTTTTCTCCACCAGCTGCAGGTGTTTCAACGATCACAGGATCTTCTCCTTCCCAGAGGCTAGTGAAGATTAGAAAGGAAAAAAAAACGCACTCGTGATGAAATGTTCTGAGCTCATGCTGTCCTCCCACACTGACAGAGCACAGACGAATGCGTGGAGGCAAATAATGTCAGAGTGCAGGAAAGCACAAAATGACCGGGAGGAGAGGTGGCAGGCTGATGAGAGGGCTGAAGCTCAAATGTGGCGGCAGCATGATGAGAGGAGGCGGGATTCAATGCTGAGGCTGCTGGAGGATCAAACCAGTATGCTCCAGTGTATGGCTGAGCTGCAGCAAAGGCAGCTGGAGCACAGACTGCCACTACAGCCCCTGTGTAACCAACCGCCCTCCTCCCCAAGCTCCATAGCCTCCACACCCAGATGCCCAAGAATGCGGGGGGGGAGGGCCCTCCGGCCAACCAGTCACTCCACCACAGAGGATTGCCCAAAAACAGAAGGCTGGCATTCAATAAATTTTAAAGTTGTAAACTTTTAAAGTGCTGTGTGGCATTTTCCTTCCCTCCTCCACCACCCCTTCTGGGCTACCTTGGTAGTCATGCCCCTGTTTGTGTGATGAATGAATAAAGAATGTATGAATGTGAAGCAACAATGACTTTATTGCCTCTGCAAGCAGTGATCGAAGGGAGGAGGGAGGGTGTTTAGCTTACAGGGAAGTAGAGTGAACCAAGGGGCGGGGGGGTTTCATCAAGGAGAAACCAACAGAACTTTCACACCGTAGCCTGGCCAGTCATGAAACTGGTTTTCAAAGCTTCTCTGATGTGTACTGCGCCCTCCTGTGCTCTTCTAACCGCCCTGGTGTCTGGCTGCGCGTAACCAGCAGCCAGGGGATTTGCCTCAACCTCCCACCCCGCCATAAACGTCTCCCCCTTACTCTCACAGATATTGTGGAGCGCACAGCAAGCAATAACAACAGTGGGAATATTGGTTTCGCTGAGGTCTAAGTGAGTCAGTAAACTGCGCCAGCGCGCCTTTAAACATCCAAATGCACATTCTACCACCATTCTGCACTTCCTCAGCCTGTAGTTGAACAGCTCCTGACTACTGTCCAGGCTGCCTGTGTACGGCTTCATGAGCCATGGCGTTAAGGGGTAGGTTGGGTCCCCAAGGATAACTATAGGCATTTCAACATCCCCAACAGTTATTTTCTGGTCTGGGAATAAAGTCCCTTCCTGCAGTTTTTGAAACAGACCAGAGTTCCTGAAGATGCAAGCGTCATGTACCTTTCCCGGCCATCCCACGTTGATGTTGGTGAAACGTCCCTTGTGATCCACCAGTGCTTGCAGCACTATTGAAAAGTGCCCCTTGCGGTTTATGTACTCGCCGGCTTGGTGCTCCGGTGCCAAGATAGGGATATGGGTTCCGTCTATGGCCCCACCACAGTTAGGGAATCCCATTGCAGCAAAGCCATCTACTATGACCTGCACATTTCCCAGGGTCACTACCCTTGATATCAGCAGATCTTTGATTGCATGGGCTACTTGCATCACAGCAGCCCCCACAGTAGATCTGCCCACTCCAAATTGATTCCCAACTGACCGGTAGCTGTCTGGCGTTGCAAGCTTCCACAGGGCTATCGCCACTCGCTTCTCAACTGTGAGGGCTGCTCTCATCTTGGTATTCATGCACTTCAGGGCAGGGGAAAGCAAGTCACAAAGTTCCATGAAAGTGCCCTTACGCATGCGAAAGTTTCGCAGCCACTGGGAATCATCCCAGACCTGCAACACTATGCGGTCCCACCAGTCTGTGCTTGTTTCCTGAGCCCAGAATCGGCGTTCCACAGCATGAACCTGCCCCATTAGCACCATGATGCATGCATTGGCAGGACCCATGCTTTCAGAGAAATCTGTGTCCATGTCCTGATCACTCACGTGACCGCGCTGACGTCGCCTCCTCGCCCGGTATTGCTCTGCCAGGTTCTGGTGCTGCATATACTGCTGAATAATGTGTGTGGTGTTTAATGTGCTCCTAATTGCCAAAGTGAGCTGAGCGGCCTCCATGCTTGCCGTAGTATGGCGTCAGCACAGAAAAAAGGCGCGGAACGATTGTCTGCCATTGCTCTGACGGAGGGAGGGGTGACTGACGACATGGCTTACAGGGAATTAAAATCAACAAAGAGGGTGGCTTTACATCAATGAGTATTTCAGGCAGGACTTCACAGAGAAATGGCGCACCTAAGTAATTGTTCTTAGTGGAACAAGCAGGTTGGTCTGGCCTCTGATTGATACATGGCTAGATTTACCTCGCTGCACCTTCTCTGTGAGTGACTGCAGTGTGACCTAGAGGAATGAGTCCCCTAGACGGGGGAGGGGGGAAAGCAAATGAGTACAAAACAAATCTGGTTTATTTCTTGTTTTGATCCACTCCATCTATCTTTTACATCTTTGGCTGGCAGCAGACGGTGCAGAAGGACTGCAAGCCATCCACATCTCATGGTTGCCAGGAGCACCTCGGACATGACGATGACGGCTACCAGTCCTATTGCACCGTCTGCTGCCACAAGGCAAGGGGTTGCTGCTGCTGTGTAGCAATGCAGTACTATGTCTGCCAGCACCCAGGAGACATACGGTGACGGTTAACTGAGCGGGTTCCATGCTTGCCGTGGTATGGCGTCTGCACAGGTAACTCAAGAAAAAAGGCGCAAAACGATTGTCTGCTGCTGCTTTCACAGAGGGAGGGAGGGAACGGGGGCCTGACGATATGTACCCAGAACCACCCGCGACAATGTTTTAGCCCCATCAGGCATTGGGATCTCAACCCAGAATTCCAATGGGCAGCGGAGACTGCGGGAACTGTGGGATAGCCACCCACAGTGCAACACTCCGGAAGTCGACGCTTGCCTCGGTACTGTGGAAGCACTCTGCCGAGTGAATGCACTTAGAGCATTTTCTGTGGGGACACACACACTCGAATATATAAAACAAATTTCTAAAAAACCGACTTCTATAAATTCGACCTAATTTCGTAGTGTAGACATGCCCTCAGGGTAGCTAAGCTCTGGAACAGGCTTCCAAGGGAGGTTGTGGTTTTTAAGAAGAGGTTGGATAAATATATGTCAGGGATGGTCTAGCTTTACTTGGTCCTGCCTCAGCGCAGGGGGCTGGACTTGGTGAATTCGAGATCCCTTCCAGGCCGACAGTTCTACTATTCTAACAAGACTCTCCTCCTTCCATTGAGTTCGACGTAGGAGCAGCAAGCGACAGCAGACAGACAGTGTAGCAATTCGGCTGCCTCTAGCTGGATGAACTCCCAGCTTGAGTTAGGTGTCACCCCTCTGCCCAGACATCCATCCAGCCCTATACCATAGCATCCATCCAATACCTCGCCAGCAGTCCCTGTAGAGGGAGTGGGAATGTAATAACCAGTTCTGTCCCTCATACCCAGGAGTCCTTGCTCCAGTAATCTGACCCTCTAGATTGGTCTCTCAAACTCATCTTTGTTTTCCTCTTGATGCAGATTACAAACAGCGAGACGCAAACAGCACATTTATATGGAACGAGACCCGATCCTGTTTAAGCAACACAGTGAGTGACCCCAGATCCAGGAGCCATTAGTCTAGCAAAACAAGCTCTGCTAGGCAACGCAGAGGGCAAGAAACTCTGCAAGTCCTAAAACAGACTAGAATCTCCTTCGTAGAGGCTAATGGCTCCCATTCAAAGGTCACTAACGCAATAACAGTGGCCAAAATCCTCAAACCTGGAGGCCTAAGTGAGGCTCAAAATAAACGAGGCCTGACTTTCAAAATGCTCAGTTCCCCGTCCCCACGCCCAGTTCGAGTGACCACCTTTTCAAAAGGCAAAAAGTAGGACACAGGCAGGCTGCGAGCAGCCCCTGGCCCGTGTCCCCACCCCCCAGAGCGTTGGTGCAGGAAGCTCTTGTGGCCAGCCACTGGAAGATAGACCTTTAAGTGCACATTGCTAGGCAGACATCCACAAAGGGCCATGGCTGGGATGCAGCACGATCTCGTTTTCTCTGCACTTTCAACGTATTTGCAAGGGAGCTAAAGCAAAATAAAAACATTTTAAAATATCCTTCCTAAGGAATTGACAGTTCATTTTATGTAGAAAATCATTACGTTTGCACCAATTGAGAAGGCTTTACAAACACACACACACGGGTTGCCAGAATGTTGCACATCCACCACCCATATAAACACTGAACTACAGAGCCCCCCCGCTGTCCCCCTCCTCACTGCCTAACAGCTGGATGTACAAATGCACTATTTCAAGCCTGAGATTCAAAACAAGCATCAGGAATTGCTGACCAGACTGTTTTGCGTTTTGCTTTGGGTGCCATGCTGGCTGCTCGGATGGCTCGGCCTGCCACCCATCATTAGGGCGTTCACCTTTACTTTCAAAACCTTTTTGCAAAATGGAACATGCTGCTGAAATTTTTGGTATGTTTGGTTTTTTTTCCCTGCTGCCTCCAACCTACTCCACCATCAGCATCGTCTCCTCTGCAAATGGCCAAGTGCGCACTCCACTGGCCGCGCAGCCGCTATGGAGGCGATTGTGAAATAGTTCTGTCCAAGTGGCCTGTGAATGGCTTCGTTAACTAGAGAAGCAGAGGATAAGCCGAGTATCCCAAGATAACGATTGATGTCCAGAGCATTCCTGGGGGCAGCGGTCCTTTCTCCATGAATTTAAACCAACCTGAATTCTGAAAGATCCTAGCATTGTGTGGACCCTTCCAGACCACCAACCTTTGTGTCGTGTAAACCTGCCACGGTGGGTGACAAGCCTTGGAGAAATACCCCTTTTTTTGTGAATTCTGAGCCCTGATGGGGGTGGGGGGAAGAATAGGCACATGGATTCCATCAGTTGCCCCAGTACAATTTGGGAACCCACTGTGTGCAAAGCCATCAATAACATCCTGGACATTACTCAGCTTTGCACCTTGGTGCAGCAGTCCCTTGTTCCTGGCACCACATGCCTGCATGACAGTGGCCCCAACGGTCAATCTTCCCACACCAAATTGGTTGGCTATGGACCAGTAGCATTGGGGGTGCCAGCTTTCAGAGGGCAGTGTTGATCCCACGAATATGTCGTCGCCATCCTGAAATTCCCTTGCCACTGCTGGTCATCCCAAGTCTGCAGAAAAATCCTTCTCCCCCCCAGCCCAGTCTGCTCTGGCTTTCCAAGCCCAGAAATGGCGCTGCGCCCTAAGAAGCTGCTCTGGGAACTGCCCTCTACTGTCAGTGACTTGGCATCTCCCTTGTCTGGGCCCCAGCTCCACTGCCACTGAAGATCCTCCTGCTTTGGGAGGAGCTGCTGCTGCTGCCACCACCACATCGTCTGCTCCGCAGTGCAGCTGGCCGAGTCCTGAGCCGAACTTGTCCAGCTCCGAGTGCAGGATGCAGCCTGAGCAGCATGCTGGGTCTATGTGGGCCACCTACCATTTGAAGATGGTGCTAGCCCGTCCCTGAAGGAAGCACGGGGCAGCGACAGA